TAAATGGCCTTACTTGACTAGCAATCTCCACAAGATCCGCTTGTCCAAAACCAATCCCGTTTGGATTGTTATTTTTTTGAAATTTTTATAGAAAAAAGTATTATACTGATTTGATGTACATGTGAAATTTAAAAAAAATATATTAGAAAATATGTTCACCGAAAATGTAAGAATTTTTCATTGAAAATTTGCAAGCCAAAGACCTTTGATTCCACCAAGTTTATGGAAGAGCCTGATGTTCATGTGCGAACAAAAATAGAGCCATGTTGGTCTCAAGTTTAAATTTAACTAATTTGTGCGTCTGTGTTAGTTGACTTCATCTATTTTGTTGCTTTTTCAGTAGAGAGAAGGTAACTCACCTAAATTTATGTTGAAACCTGTATAAAAGGCGTGCTATTTTCACATTTATGTCAACCAAAATATATAGTGGCAATGTGACAACAACAAACATTTTTTGTGGTAGAAAATAAATTATTACAAACAAGTAAATCTGTGGAAGAGGTGATTCTCTGACGCTAACAACGAAATATTTTTTCATCCACATGTTGGTGTATTTACATAACTTGTATGCTACGTCAATCCTGGATTCTTTTTTTTTTTTTTTTAAATCAAATGGCAACAGTTAGTCTAACTTAATCCTACTTCTACTCCATTCTAGCCTACACTAGGAGGGGGAGGAGAGCCCCATTGGGACCTAGAGAGATCAATGAGGATTAAACCACTATTGGACTAGATGAATGTACCACGCACATGTATAAATTTAGAAAAAATCGCATATAATGACACGTTAATGGGATGTAAGGTTTAAATCCTGATCTCCTATCCCACTAAGATTTAAAGTCGTTGGTGGTGACTAACAGCCCAAAAGCTGTTGATTACTCCTAGATTCTTTCGATAAGCACGATTGAGCTACAACCTACATGTCATAACCAAAATTAGACTACCCTTTCCATTTATTGCGAGATATATTATCTCGTTTGGATTGTTATTTATTGCATGCTTGGTTTAGAAGTATTTGATTAAAGAACATTGAAGATGAATAACAACTTTTTATTTAAATTGTGTTGGAGATTTCACTAGTCTTGGATGCTTTCATATTTAATTTTCATACTTGGTGGGCATCGACCTCATAAGTTGTACCCACCCACCCCTAATTCAAAAGTGGCATTTTCCTTACCATTGATTAAACCATTTTCCAACTTTTAATTAATTTGGTGAAATTCTATTGAATTGATTTCAATTATTATATCATGAATAATACTTAAAGGTGTAAAGGACTAAATCCACTTAGAGGGTCAAAAGCGTTGAGATTGAAAATATGAGGGACTAAATTAGTTTGTGCAGAAATTTAGAAGGACTAAATTGGGCAATACCCAATAATAGAGGACTTTCAATAATACATACTACGTAACTATTTCATGTTAAACACATGGAAGAGCATAACGTTCTTTTTATAAAAAAAAAAAAATTCTAAAACTTTTATTCGTAGTAGAGGAGAGGTAAGATTTAACTTTTAAAGAGCAGGAAGTAGGTAATGAAATTAGAATTCTGAATATCTAATTTTTTGAATTTCAATAATATTAACCACTAGACTAACGCCCTTCGAAATTTCAACATTAGCCAGCCACTGGACTAATACCTCCTTGACCAATGTGCAATATAACTAGAGCCAAGTTGGTCTCATGTTCGTGCTAGTCAACTTCGTGTATTGTCTAGTTGCCCTTTCAATGAGGTAAGGTAACTAATTAAGTTTAAGGTAACTAATCACCGGTGGAGCTTCATACCCAAAAAATAAAATAAAATAAAAAAATACCGCAATACTAATTAATTCTCTTCAGTAGAATAGAAACTCCCCTTCCCATTTCATTCCGGAAATTACAGTACTGTTTAACACCACATCAGTATCTTTCAGATCCCTTAGATTAAGTGCTACTACGACTACAAATCTCAAGAACCATACCTTCTTTTCTCCCAAAACTACCTTCCCTTGATTAGACAAAAGACTAATAACAATTTAACAACCCCAGATTTGATCAATAAAAAGAACAGAAAATACAAAGAGAGAGGGAAGGAGAGAGTAGCAACAACTAAAAACCCCAGAACAAAAAAAGGCCCGAAATCAAAATAACTGCTACTAATTAACAACTTTTCACTTCACAGCTCACAACATCCAACATCCTACTGCTGCTATTTTTTTTGCTCAAAAACTTCCTCTAATCTCCTTCAGTATCTCCATAACAGCATTGAGACAGAAAGCCTGTGGACCTTGGAAGGCTTTTTTAACCTCCTGGTAATCATCATCGCAATCACCTTCATTACCGCGGGCTTTACTTTTTCCTTTACCTTTATTACCCTTGCCCTTGCCTTTGGCTTTGCCCTTGCCCAAGAAAAAACTAGTCACCTTCATATCAGGAGCTGGTAATGATGCAAATGCTGCGCTTATTGCGTGCATCTCCTGAAGTTGCTCGAACGTAGATTCCTCCCATATTTTAAGCAGCAGCTTGCTGTCCTCCTCTGCAGTCATGAATGGCCTTACTTTACTAGTAATCTCGACGATATCAGTTTCTCCAAAATCAATCTTGCCTTGCTTCTTCGAATCCGTGATTACAACTTGAGCAAGGGATTCAGATAAAAGACGGACCAGCCCTCCCATAATTATACAAGAGCAAACAAATATACCAACATGGACATCAGACACAATCTGATACAAATCAGATTCCCTAGCATAGATGTTTTCACCCACTTCGTCAATGCTTCTAGGTGCAATCACTAGGACAAAGCACCAAGCCTCCGGGTCAAACGTCCACTTTATGACTGGCTGCTTAGCGAAGTTGAGGTTGCCCTCGACCCCGGAAGCCGAATAATCGAATTCCACGGCAAGGGATTTCAACTCAGTGAACTTACCAAGAAATTTCGGGAGATAGTCCAGCACGAGGTCGTCATCACAGGCACAGTGGGGTGGCGAAGACCCCCCCCCTGATGCATTTGTAGGCCTTCAGCTGAAGGAACCCGATGGGATAGGTGACAGCATGGACTAGTTTTCCGGGGAAAGCAGCGAGTCGGGGAGTGGGATCGGGCTGGACCACTGGCATCTCAACCGGGATTTTCAAAGAAACAGATTTGGACATGAAGACTAGAGAAGAGAATCTTTTGGAGACCAGGGAACATCTGCAGAGGTATTTGGCTTCAGAAACTTTGTCAAGAATGTGGGAAACTATCAACTCATCTGATAATCGCTCGAATGGGTCATCATTTGGTTTTCCTTGATGTTCTTCTACAGCTGCAGCCGCTCCTAGTGTTAGATTAGCAAACCCCAAATTCTCCATTTTCCTTTTCTTCTTCTTTTTTCTTTTAAAATCAGAGAGTGAACTATAGCAAGTCGAGACCTTTTTCTGATACTTCAAAATTTTTTGTTCCTATGGGGTATGCTTTTAAAGGAGGAAGCTATTCTTGGAGCCCAAGTAGTAGGCTAATCCTATAGCTATAAGGTACAGTAACAACAAATGAATCATTCGTCCAGCATACAATTGAAGGACAGCAGCTTTAAGTCTTTTTACCTCTGCAGAAAAATTTGCCCCCCCAAACCTCTTCACTTTCACGTGATTCTCTATCATTTATGGTCCTTGCATTTGACCTCCATTCAACACGTAGCTGCATGATCGGCAGTTTCTTTTTTTCCCCCAAAGTGAAAGACCGGCTGACAGCTACAGTATATTTATTATCTCCTCAGGATAAACAAAAATGTAGAAGGACAGCTATTAGCCAATGCAGCTTCTTTCCACTGCGGTAAAAGAACATATTAATTGAGTTTGTACTGTAATTTTATTATGAAATGTTATTTGCAGTTTTTTTGTTTTATTATCACACTTTTATCATTTATTTTATTATATAATTTAATAAATAAAAATTACATGATTAGAATGATCGTGTGAGTGTGATTAATAAATATGGGAATGCAAATAATATTTTTTTGATTGAAATTTATGTATTGCAAAAAAAAAAAAAAAAAAGGGCTCAGAAACAGGATTTTATTTCTCATTCCAAGTGGCCACCACCATTTAGAGGATTTTATTTCCCATTCAAAAACGGACGCAAGAGCTGAGAAAGGGAATGGGTGGCCCAATAAGCTCGCTCACTTACTCATGGCAATAAGATTACGTTCCGACGACTAGTACAACGAAAACAGCCCAACAGGCGAGCGTAGTCGATAAAACGATAATGGAGACAATTGATTCTGTGCTCCTTGGATATGGCTCAGTGGTCTTGTTCTCCCACAATGACAAAAAATTCACGATAGTTTCAAGGAAAATATTATTTGCACTCTAATTTTTAATATTAATTATAATGATAGTAAAAGGGCGATTAACAAAAATGGAAACGGAAATAACATTTCCCTAACTTAATTATGTGTTTCAATTTTCAATAGTGGTTGAAGACGACTTGTGAGAGTGACACCCAATGTTGAGTACCCAATAGAATGGCTTTATTCCACGTGAAAAGAAATAGTCAGATATGAAATCATTGTGCTATCTTTTTTTTCTTTTTTTTTTAAAAGGAGGCATTGTGCTATCTTAGCTCTAAAAACTAATATTAATCAAAATTTGTTCAAATAAGTTATGATCTAAGATTTGGCCATATTAGTGTTCAACAGATACTAATTTCAAGAAATATGGTTGCATTAAAATTTTCTAGCTTATTTGACTGTTTTTCATGGAATCTGCATAATAACCTCAGCATCCAAGTGAAAAGAAAAAAAAAAGTTTTGTACGATAATACTTGTTGATTTTTGAGTTTAATTTAGAACTAACATTTTATAAGTGAAACGTTATGAAATTCTCGCTATCTCAAAAATGAAAGCAAACTCCCATATGCATCCAAGACAAGAATGAGCCCATCCAATTGCTGCCTCATACACAAATTTGGGGGATCCCAAGTGATTGTGTGCTTATGCAGCTGCTCATCTCCTGATATGAAATAAATTGAATCGCAAAATAAATTGAGGAAGCAGTGCTTCAATCGACTAGCAGCCTTATGTTCTACCAGCCTTATGTCCAAAATTTACTCAACATTGCTAGATGTTTATATAAGAAGAAAAAAAAGGCCGATTTCAAATAACCTCCAAAAGCATGATCTGGTACTCAACAAGGACAATTGGAGCAGCAGCCTTTAAATGTTACGCCGCAAGCTGGGATTTCTTGACAACAATCTCCCATCTAGTATAGTTTATCATTTCCCATAAATGTTGTTGGTACTCTCTATCAATCTTCCACACCCTTTCCTTCAAAAACTTACAATGATTGCATTCCCGGGATCAATCTCATGATTTTGGCCTGCAGCATCAAATCTTCCAAGCCCTTCCCTTCAAAAAGTTACTCAAAACTGTTGCATTCTTCCCATATCCAAGCCCTCAAAAGATCCCACCTTCTCCATTTGCTTTCCAGAATCACTAGTGTCTTCATCTTCTATCTCAGTTGATATAATGGACTCATCGGCAGCGTATCCTAGTTCTACAGACAGGGATGCGTCGAGAGTGCTGAAAGATAGTGAAGTAAGTGAAGCATCTAACGAAGCGTCTAAAGAAGGGGCGTAATGGCTCCTCCTGGCTATCTTTTTCCTGGCTTTTGCTCGCCATCTTTTCAGGCCTCTGACCACTGCCTCCGGAAATGCATTTCTTAGCGTTGATGTGCCCATCTGCTCAGAATTAATTTCATCGCCTTAGCCATTTATCTTCAGACTAGTCAGATAGTGTTGATTTCAATGTTTCATGGTACAATAGTTGCATTGATAACATAGTAACGTTTGACTAATTCTACTTGCCTGAGTTACTAGAGCATAAAGAGGAAGTGTTACGTAGCCACAGAGGAATTGAACAAGCACTCCCATGGTGAGTCTTATTACAATGTCTTCAGTTTGTCGGTGGAAGCAAGATCTCAGTCCAAACTTGTACTGTTCATAGAGGGCTCAAGTTTTAGCACATCTCCTCTAGGTTAGGAAAGGAATGCATAAATCATTTCTTCACAAAAGCTTACCCAAGTCCATGAAAAAAATGCCAGCTGAAATGAGTTCTGCAATGATAAGGACAGCTCGAATTAAGTTGTGAAGCAAAAGAATTGGTCCAAGAAGTTAGTACTAAAGTATGGTTGATGAAATAGAAGGCTGTCGATGGACGGAGTATCAGGTTTTTACTTTTACCAAGTCATTTTCGTTCAAGAACTTTGTACTCATATTTTTTGCTTTTTATAGTCCTTTTCACGAAGTAATCTACGCTCATTACAACGAAATCATGCAGGATTCTGCATAGCATAGTAAGAGGAAAAGGTTACCTGGAATAAAATAAAGTGCATTAGGTGGAGAAGCAATTCTGGTCGATCAAACCAGAAGAAATGGTCACTGGGCCTAACGAGAAGGCTTCCTCGAATCACATGGGATTTGTCATTGGTGTCCAAGCACATTCTCGTTATAATAGCTTGTAGCTTTGTCCCAACAGCCAGCAGAAACTGAAATGCAGGATATCAGTATTCAACAATGAATCCATTGCAAACTTTGGAACAGGAAACTATTCATATTGACTTTGCTTACCAACAATGGAATGAAGGGCAGCCAAATATAGCTGTGAAAAACTGCACGAAGAAGGCAATTAGTATATGTTAATTGTGGCATATAATTTCATCTCGCCAAGAATATACAGTATTATGGATAGTGGAGTAGGTCTAGATTTTACCGTATGCATTGAAGAATATGAAAAGTACTGAGAAAATCCAGATACAGAGGCTGCAAAAGATGTCAATTTTAGGAGTTATTTATATGGCCTAAGCGTCATTCTAAACATAAGTAAGGATGATGCAATGACATTTTTTTTTAAAGTTTATATTACCTCATCCCAATAACCACTCCAAAATCTTTCTCCAAAGCTCTCCTCAGGTATTTCTGGAAGTCAAAGCTACTTTTTTCTTTACAATGAGCCTGAAAGAAGCATATCAAAGCAGGGTATTAGAAACTCTGAAGCTAACTGGCAATAAAGCTGTTCGATATTCTGAAGACACAGAGGAAGAAGTACCGCGACAAATCCACGCCGCAGAGTTATATAGTCAACTTTGGAAACGGAGTTAAAGAATTGTCGAAAGAAAACAACCTGCAAAAGAAGTTGCCAACAGAACATCAGATCCAAAAGGAATGCATTGGATAAAATGCCAAAAAGATTTCGAGTAAAGCACTAACTGGTAAACGAAGAATTCGGTATTCACTCCAAAATCTGAGATGCCGCCTTCCAAATGTTGTTTGATGAATAAGCTGGAATCTTCTTGGATCTAAGTGAAGATCATTGAAGTTCAACAATGAGCTGAAGAAAAGTCATGTTCAACACTGAGCAGATTACGTTGTCTAAGTAAACTTGTAGTTCCGTATTAACTTAGTCTGATCAGAACAGTTCAAGAAACTTAGCCAAAACTTATTTGCATACTTCCTGAAATTGTTTGCTATTAGACTTCCTGCGTGATATAAGATATTTCCTGAGCTGTTCCAAGAGTCAAGACAATTACATCCCGTGTTGCCATGTAATTGAAATTTCCAACTCTGCTTTTCCCAGTTTTGGAGCAGTTAACTGATGATTTTCAGGTAATAGAAGGAAGAATAATATTTTTAGCATCTCAGAAGACCAACAAAAACAAATGAAAAGTCTACCATTTGAAAACTGATATTCCATGGTTCTTGTTTCTGCCTCCCAAGATTCCCATCTTCTCATCTGGAAATTGTCAGATTGACCACAAAAGCCAATGATATTGATCAGATACAGGTCTTCAAGTTTCCTCTTCATGAAAGATACATAAAAAAGTCCAACTTACGCATTTGAAAGCTAATTTGGATTTGTATGGTTTAACAAGATCTAAACAATCCTTAGTCAAGCCACCCCACAGGAATATTTGTAAAAACAGTGTGAATTCTTACCTTTGCCATTCCAAGACTGAAGGTTAGAAATGAAGATAAAACGTGGACAAAAGCCAGCACAAAAATTAACATCTGGAGTTGCTGTGCACCTTCTCTTGACATGAACGACATTTTTCCCTGTCATCACAATTTCAAAAACCACCTAGTAAAGATTCAGCTCTTGATCTCTCAAGAAACAGGACTCCATTTTTATCGATTCATAGTCACCAATCAAGATACTTGATTAATTAATGTGGAAAAGAAAACGAAGATAACTGCTGCCTCATAAGGGTAAGATTCTAACCCAAAATATGAGACTTTGATCCCAGAAGTTCAATGTCGTACGCAATTTTCATAAGCATCATAGTAATGATTTCCAGCACAGGATAGGTGAAATCTTGGAGAGATTTTTTTTTTTTTTTTAATATGATGAACATATTCATTTTCAACAAAATTTGTTGAAACATTCAGTTAAAAACCTGTTAGGTAGATACCTGTTCTTGACATTTTGATTCTTCATCGTCTTCACTAGTCAAGCTTTGACAAGGTAGGAAGGTCTCAACAACGCCCTTTGGAATACAGATTTTTGCAAGCGGCCTTTCTCCCACTGTCAGCATCAAAGAGATGAATCCCAAGAGCAGTAAATCTGCACATAACATCATATCCATGCAGAGCATTGGCAAGGAAAAAAATATTATGTTATTGCAACTATCTACTCAAAAGTACAGAATAAACCCTGGTATGTGTAGTATAATCCCATGATACTCGAGAAGAATACTGGGCATACAAGTGTGACTGATTTTTTTAAGTGTCCTTACCTGATTTGATTTTGCTCAGAACATGAAGAACATACTTTTTCCTCTTCCTCTGTAAGTACTGTAGGAATCCAGAACATCAAATATCAAGCAACTGCAGGCGTCTGTACTGTTGATCAGCTAAAAATGTTTGAAGTGAAAGGAGATTAAGAAATGCATGACTTACCTTAGCTAGAAGATGAAGACCATGTTCAATAAGTATGGAAACAGCAATCAAGATGAAACAAACAACTGCCACTGCCCATGTTGATGTATGCTCAAGAGTTGTCTCCTCATGTCCACTTCCTTCAGCCATCTCTGGGTGTAGTCCGGCTATGCTTTGGTAGACAATTACTTAGGTTAGTACCAACCCTTCAGAAGAAGAGAAGACAGCCCAAGAAATTGAAGGGATGAAGAAAAGTGTATCCGGTAATGTGGGGAAACAGAAATTTTTGTTTCCAATTCTTGAGCATTTGAGACTGGAAAATGCTAGGAAAAAATTGCAACAATAATAATATAATAACACCCCAGGAAATAGAAAATGTCTGCTGATTGGTTAACACTTTTAGACTAATTGGTCGATATTCGGTCACTGCTATTTTCTTTGATTTTATTTGAGTGCTTGGTCAAAATATGAAATCGCTTTTGGGGCCATGGTTGACTACTATTCCCCCGGCGTAACGAAAGCGGTGACGTGGATCAAGTGTAAACAGTGATGCAAACGACAATTAAGAATGTCGTTTTTTTGTTTGGCTTACCTCAAACCGGTCGAACCATAAGGGCCGCATGGCTAAAAATAAAAAATAAAAAAGCCAACCGCGGTCTACACGGTGGTGCGGATGGGTGAACCAGGCTTTAATTGGTGCGGGCATGAGCGGTGGTGCCTGTAGCATCAAGGTCCCACTATGGTGTGAAAAGGATTGCGATCAACGCGTGAGGTAATCCTGGTAGATGGTTTATGGTGCACCGGCGGCTTTATCCCCCGTTAGTCTTGTTCAATTCGGGCATCACAAGTTGTACTTGCTACATTTCGAAGTAAATTGGTAAATTTTATAATTTTTTCTGGTTCTAGGTGAATTTATAATTTGTTATACTATCATATTTAAATTTTTGTTACACCTATTTTCAATTCAATTACAAAGGACAATTTTTGCGGGAAATGAAATTTATGAGGCCGACTAGTTAACGTACAGGTCTGTTTGGATTGTGAATTATTAGAGATATTTTTACTGTAGCACTTTTTATAATGTGATGTGTGTGAGATAAAAAAATAATTGAAAAGACAAAAAGGTGTATTGAAAATTGTAATGATGATGTAAATAAATAAATTTGGGGAAATAAAACCCAATCCAAACAAACTACAACACCCAAGTAAAAAGTCCTCGGGAACATAGCCGGAGTTTTGTCGGTCTTGCCTCTCGAGGGAGGGAAAGAGGCAGAACTAGAAGTTGTTACTCATTGCAGACTGCTTGTTGACTTTCATAACAAGGATATTATATTCAAATAACGTTCAGGTATATATATATATATATTAGTTACATCAAAATTATATGGTGTCATCTGATTTCTACATTTTGAAATTTTGTCATAGTGATAAAATTTAGACTATAAACCTCTTCCAATAGTTGCTATTGACAACCGTTCGTACCCTTACTCCCTCGAGGGCTTCAAGTGAAATTCAGTTTTGAAGCAGCGATGGTTATCAATGACTTAATACTGCGTAGGATCCATTCATAACACGTGTAAAGCTTTGATAACAAATTGTAATTCACTGAAACACAATTAGTACAATCTTGTAATGGTAGTATTAAAATCTTGTACCGTTCACCAAAGAAAAGTATATGTTGAATTTTTGTATTGTTGGCAAAATTCACGCTATAAAAAGTTTGGGGCAATTGCTTGTGACAATCGTCCTTGCCGTAAGCCCCACGTGACTCAAGTCCGACTGCATGTTCAACCAAACTGAGGTCTTGAGGCAGTTTGCAATCCAGATTCAGTTGCTTCTTTTCCAGTTCAATCTAAAGATTTCAAATTTTAAATTAAAAAATTTTAAAAAAGCACCAAATTTATAATTCATGGTTCAGATTGGGCAATGTATGAGTTGCAAATTGTCTAGTGCACTTACATCTATAGCACTACTAAGGCCCTATTTGATAACCCAATTCAACATTTAAACTTAATGAATTCAGATTCTAGCATGTTCAGATGCGTTCGATAATCAAAAATTAAACATCTGAATTAATTTAGTGGCACTGAATTTTCTAGGCAAACTTGCTTTCAAAATTAAGTGATAAGCTATTCATTTATCACTGGATGTGATATACACTCAAATCTATTAGATTTAATAATTAACAATTCAATATCTTAATGGATTCAGGATTCAGATTTCAATTTTATCAAACATACCCTAAGTCCATGGTCATGGAAAAATATCTAAGCTCATTTTTAGTTAAACCTAATGTAGACGCAAAATGTAGAAAATTTTTTCTCCTTTTGTTTTGGGCCTCGCATTTCTTTGTTTGGGCCCATAAATTAAACTTATACTGTAATATTTTCTAATCTGGTCCGTACGGTTCAAGATATGGGTACTCATCTGATTAGAGCACTTGGAACTTTTCATTTGTATTCTTGTAAAGGATATAAATTTTACATTTGTATTCCACAAGACACTGTTGCTAACTGGTTATAGGGACACAGTAGGATCTGGATGATCCGCAGCATGGTTGAAGGCTCACAGAATAAGACTGCTACAATGCATTGGCTTGATTCGGCGAAATACAGAGCCCAAACTAGAGAAAATACATTCTAGATGAACAAAGAAACTCCACCAGAAAATAATGGATGCCGGAAATATACTTAGCATTGGACACTGTTATCGCGACAAGTTCCGCTAATGCTAATTTGTCAAAGAAGATTCAAGAACTGGGAGATAAGCTCCAAAGGAAACTAACAGGATGAAAATTTAAATATTACTTCCCACACTCCACAGTTCATACAGGATATCAGCGAGGATATAACCATGTTATAGAATCAATTCAAGCGCAAGTCATACATTCTGAGGAAGAACTTTTTCCTATGAACTGAATAAAGAAAACAATAGAAGAAATCAAGCCCCTCAACTCACAAATCATGTTCATACAACAAAATCCAAGGAGCTTAGGGACAGATGGCAAATCTAGTTGAGCCGTTGGCACAACTGCTTCAAAAGTACATATCCATGGGGAAGAACTTGCCCCAGAAATAAAACTACTACATAATTTCTTCTTTTCACATTGATTGTCATCAAAATGGACATTTAAATCATAAACAGAACCATGCAGAATCTTTCTAAGAAATTTAAGAGTTTTAAACAAGCCATCGGAGCAGCTATGCCTTTCATGCACTGCATCATATAACTGAAGCCTCAGATGCCTCACTTACATTCAGTCATTCGGTCTAAGGAAATAGAGATCAGGAAACAAGCTGGCTGCTGCTCAGAAATAGAGCTGACCAATTTTCTTAACTACCATTCCCAATACCACGACAAGAGAGACTAAAATCTGTACCTCTGACGTTTGCTGAAACGTATCTTCGTACAAATCCTAAATCACGCTTGCTTTGGGATTTTAGCAAAACACCTATCCATCTTTACTTCATGGCATGCCTTCCATTTTCACCATAGTGGTCAAAAGCAACAACAACTAATATAAAAAGTTCAACTAGTTATAGGTCATTTCATCAACTGCTCATTTACTTGTAACTCAGATGTAAAAACAGATTTGCACTACAAAGCTATATCGAGAAGCATATCTCTTACATTATAGAGGTCACTTACTTTAGTGCAACTGTTTCCAGTTACCTTAGTGACAAGTGAAGGCTTTGGGTGCAATTGCACATCATTCTCGGGTACAAAAGCTGCGTCATGATCATAGGGCATTTTGACTTGAATTTGGTTCTCTTCATTTGTGCCATTTTTCCCCTCAGCCAAAGGAAAACCAAAAAGCCTGCAACTATTTTTGCACATGGAAACTGCAGTCTGGCCTCTTCTATGTGATGATTCATTTGGAAAAGCAGTGTCTGCATACCCCAAATTCCTATGGTCTTTCAAGAAACCAGAACTGGATCCATATACATCTTCCCTCCTAGAGCTACTCTCAGGAGAACACGCGCTGATCCGCCTAATATACCTTTCAGAAGTATCAAATAAACCCCGGTTGCAAGCCTCTAACTTCTCCAAGTTACCACCACATGGTGCATCACGCACTTTAGAAACTGGATAGCTTGCTTGATGAAACATCATAACAGAAGATGGTGATGACAGCTGCCCTGATGGATTGGGAGGTTGAACATGAGTAGGATAACCCCGAATAGCAGACCATCTGTTCCCCTGGCCTGGGACCTGCACACCATTAAGTATAGAAGACCCACTACTTTCTAGCACAATATCAACAGCAGGCCCTCTTCCATATGATTGGTTCAGAATAGTTTCTTGACCTTGCAAGACCTGATTGAACTGAAAAGGTTCAACAAAGCTCACTTCGTGTGAAGCAAAAGAGTCTCCTTGCAGGGATTTAAGCTGATTTGGCACTACAGAAATCCTGGAATCTTTAGTATTGGGAAAAGATTTCATTTCTGATGGATGCTGACTCGAGGCATCAAAACCATCATATGGATTATTCAAACCTACAATTTCTTGACCTTGCAAGACCTTCTGCAACCTTATATCTCCATATTCTGATATTCCTGTTGCATCTGCACATGGCATGGATTCATTAGATCCTCCTTAGTTAAGTACTTATAAACAACAAAACAGTACAAGGGATGGCAGAGACCTCTGGCAACTGAATGTTCAGATTTGGTCGTTAGCAAACCGGTCCTCGTCCTTTTTGTTCCCAGGGTCACTAAGCTGCTGTGACCAGAAACTATACCAGATGGCTCAATCTCCCAAGGGGACACTCGATTATGCCGAGACACCTCCATATCATCCCACCTAACCTGTAGAAACCAGCAAAGAATACGGATGAATCAATATCAGGATGTCAAAAATCTATCCCTCACACAAGAAAAGTTGACCCACTGACATGAAGACGAGCACATGTACACGCATTAAATCTCTTTACAAGCACATGTACACGCATTAAATCTCTTTACAGACAGAAGAAAAATAGATTATTGACCAATAACAGAACATGAATAAAGGATTCCCTCTAGCAAATAGAGTCGCAATCTCAAACAACAGCAAAACTTGGAAATAACCTCTACCTCAGGCATAAAAGAAGAGCACTATATAGTTTTCCAGGATGACAAACAAGACAAGCATATGAATCAGTACATGAGATTGTGTTGAATCTGCATACATTCAAGGTGATGATTACCCAGAAGGATCGCAAGTATCAGAATTACCAAATTACAGAAGTATACATTTTGCATTTAAAAAACAACTCACTTGCGCATAAGCAGGTTTATGAAGCTTCATACAAGTGCCACATCAAAAATAAACTATCCAACTACAGTTCATAATCCAGAAG